AAAATATGTTTCCTCGATAGGTACCGAACTCGTAACAGACCACACTATTTGTCACCCCTACTCAACAGCCACACCAAGACTTGGGTTAAAATGAGAAAAAAACGGATTAAAATAGCAGAACCGAAAACAATACAATCTCAATGCTGTTGATAGAATTCAAAGAAGACGCGCACGAATGTGTGTGTACACGTATACAGAAGTTTTTGCAATTTGCGCTAGCTGCCGCAGACACGTTGGCAGCCAAAACACATTTTCTTTCGTGTTACTTAACCGATCTTGATGAAATTTTCAGCAGTAGAACTTATTGTACTATAATATATTCGTGTGTTCACAAAAGGACAATTGCATTTAAACTGTGGCTTATATTGGTGGGCAGCATAAATTGGATTATTTCCTTGATGTATAGCTATGACGTTGTAGCGGGGAGGTGGTGATTTCCATGAAATGAAAGATACCTGATATATATGTATATACTATTCTAGAAGCTACATGTCAAGTTTTTTGACTCTAGCTCTTATTATTTACCAAAATTGCTCAAAAATTATTTTATGCTTCAATTTTCCTGTAAAATTTATCGTTAGTATTTAGGTAAATGGTTCATTTAAATTAAGCATGCATTTCATGGATAAAGCAAAAGTACTTTGCGTCGATCGTAAGTTTATACATTTTTCGCTCAATGTACTTCGAAAACGGAGCGACGCAAAGCACCATCGACCAGCTTTGCTGTAGGCAGGCTAGCGACTAACTTTGTTGCTCGTGTCAGCATCAGCAAGCCGCGACTTCGGCATTCGTTCGTCTGAACGAACAGCAGTCGGCTAGCATGTCGTTTAAAGTCGTAAAAGCCAGATAGGAAGCCAGGCTAGAAATTTTTGCGTCGCATGCAAATGTATGGGCGTTACTCATCTTAGTGTTTATATTGTCTTTGGTATTATGTAACGCATAGGCGACATATCCGACCCCATAAAGTATATATTAGCATTTATTAGCTTGACTATGCTTCTCATATATATTCAAAATCTTATCTACTTCGGACTATCATTAAAATAGCTATCATAGGAACCATCTGTCGAAAATTAAGGTCTTTTATGAAAGACTTATGCTTTTAACGATATCTTAACCAAACTAGGCATTTAAAAGTTTCAGTCTGCTCCCTTTATATATGGAAAATGTTATCAACATTGACATCAGGAACTATCAAGATACTGTTTTCCAAGATATTTTCATCAAATGAGCATTTACGATTCTCACATATCTGCAAAATCGTAAGGCAAATATCTACTAGGGTTTTAAATCCTCAACGTTCCGCAGATATTCTTACTTTCTCGTTTATTACACATACTTCCACTCTAATTATGTGCATTGATAAGCTCATTTAAATTGCGCTAAGAATTGATATTCATGGGGATTTTATAAAAAAACAATTAAATTGTTATCGACTTATCAACTGATATGCCAAATAGCCGAAGCGAAGTCCAAAAAACCCACACCTGAAATAGTCTAAAATATGGTAATAAACAGATATATCATTTTGTTGGTTACATTTGTTATAGTTGCGCTTGACTATAAAATAATTCTCGATTAACAATTTAATTTTTTTGTAGAACTTTGATAAAATCTCCCACAATTTGAAATTTTAGAGTCCCTTAGAATCAAGTATTCTTTCTTGATATTTCGATTGCAATATTTTTACTCATTTTTTTATTTACTTTTTAATGTTCTTTATAATTCCGCATTGATATTACATTTGGTCGATGCACTTATCGATGTTTGGCAAAAAGTCATTATAGCTCTGCTCCACCTTTTTGGTGGCATCGACAAAACAGCTTTCCGTATCGGCTGGCAGCTTGGCGATCAGCTTCAGGGTGATGTTTATCTTATAGGTCACTTTCATGATGGCCTCAAACAGTCCCAAGAAGCACTTGCCTGATGTCACTTTGCCATCCTCCTCATCGGCGCAAATTGTGCTATTCAGATGTATGATATCCTCGCATAGGGCTATAATGCTCTTGCAGTTCTTGACGATTTTGGCAATATCCTTGGGTATAGCCACGCCGCAGTCATCGAGGGCATCCACATAATTGGTGGTCGCAAGCATCACATCAATCACCTCTTTGATGGTGCAATTAACGCCACGCAACGTGCTCAGCGCCTTCTTCAGAGCCTTCTCTACGGACTTGATGAAGCCATAGGCCTCCACCTCCTCAAAGTCAAACGAATCGGCATCGCTGGCCTGAAATTTACCAGAGAGTTTATCGGGTAAACCCAATATTAGGTGCTAGATTTGACTGACCGATGTGCTCAGCAGACAGCTGCCGGAGACGAGCAGCAACAGGCAAAGAGTTATAGTTCTCATATTGGGTATATCACGTTGAATGTCTGTTGGTCATCGACGCTTTCCGCTTTTAAAGAACTCGTCTATCTGTCTGCGGACTCTATCAGTCGATTGGTTTCATTGTTCTCACTGATTTGTTGTATTTTTTTCTTTTAAAATCTAATTTCTTTTTTGATAAGACCCCCAAAATAATTAGTCAAGTTTAGCAAGATATACAAGTGCTCGAATTCCCTATATTAGTTATTTGCGTATCAAGAAAAGAGCAATAATAACTCCATTGTCGCGGGTTTAATTTGAATAAATTGCAATCTAAAAATAATTAAATAAATATAAATTTAGTATATGTAAACAATTTTACAAATGTTGAAGATAGTAGTATAGAACTATTTTATATCGCATTTGAAGTCAAAAAACTCTCAGCACGAAGCGCTCAAGTTTACTCTAAAAACCACAAAAAAATTTAATGTGTTAATTTATATAAAATTTTATTAATTTAAAATATAAATTATCTATTAATACGATCCTTTTAAGGGTTTTTTCTAACTTTTTCTTACTATTACAACAAATTTCTCCTTATCAGAAATATTTTTCTAAAATTAGGAAACCTTTATCCTAACAGGTTTTTAGAAATATAATTTTTAAAATATTTTGTAAAAAGTTTTTTCCCTAAAAAAAACTGGGTGGTTATATATTTTAAATTAATATAATAATATTGTGGTATTAACTCTTGTTATTTGGCCTTTTTGTTTCGAATATTTCGAAAGAATAAGTTAAAAGATACAAATTGATTTTAAAACTAGGGTATCTATAGATATTCTACAAGAAATTAAATGTTATTTGGGGAAGAAACAGTTCAATAATTTGTTTTCGGTTTGCTATGGTTTTTAAAGGATTTTAAAAGAAAACTTAAAACTGAGTTAATGACATTATTAGACTTGAAGAAAATATCATGCGAGCAGATCGAAACAATATACATATCTTATAGCTGTCATAGACACTATAAATTTTAGTATTCTCTGAAAAACCATTTTGTTGTTCCAGATATTGCTTGCAACGGTAATTAAACTTCGGCACTTAAAAGATATGAGATTGGATTTTTAAACTTTTTGCACACGCGCACATGCAAATTATATGCCTATCTCTTTTGCGCAGCTGATAAACGATAGAATCTCATGCTTTGCTCACTTTCCAGCAAAGTTCCCCATTTCCAGACGATCAGCGGTTCAGCTCAGCTGCGCTCTTCTCTCCACAGCGCTGCTGCCGTGCGTCGCTCTCCCTCTCTCATTCACACTCCAGTCGCAATTGCGGCGCTCGAAAGTGTGAATGCAGCGAAAGCTTTTCGAGTGCTTAATGCTGTTCAGGTGCGAGCTTTCAACTAAAAACAATAAAAGATTTGCTCTTGAAGATATTTTTATGTATTTTCTTTGCATTTACAAAAAAAAACATGTGTACATATAAATCAATTATGTTCAAGCGTGTGCAAATAAATAAAAGCAAATAAAATGTACTTCATATGCACAACTGTAAATAGACAGTTATATTGCCAGACACATGCACACACATACACAGGCATACACTCCTGTTTTTATCGCACGCTTTTTGGTTTAGTTCCAGAAATCAAGATTTATGACATTTTTATTACAAAAACGAGCGTCGTTTGTTGTGGGCGACTGTAAAAATAATACACAGGACAAAGCTGCTGCGGGGCTGTGGTGGGGGCGGCAGGCAGCCCCCGCCCGCTGGCTTTAAAAATATGCAGCCAGGCGCATCAGAGCCTTAGTTGGACTATCGCTCTCTCTCTTGCAGGCTGAGCCAGCCGGAGGCTTGGCTCCGGTTTCTGATGCCGCCGCATGCAACGGAAGGCGCATAATTCACAAAACAGCAGGCCTGGCCAGAGTGGGGTAAGGTATAAGGGTGCAGGAGAGGATAGCCGGGGGGAGGGGGTGGCTCTCACTTATTGTTGTTGGCAGCTAACATTTGGCAATGCAATGCAGAAATCTGTGTACAGGACCTTAGGACGCGTTTTTGACTCTCCATTTTAATATAAACAAATTGCAGCGCCTCTTATTTATGATATTTTTTACCAAGCTGTTTCTGCTTCTTCCTCCTCCTCTGCTTCTGCTTCTTCATGTTGTGGACAACTGTCGTTTGTTGTTATTGTTGTTGTTGTTGTTGTTGCAGCAACTGCTGCACTTTTTAGCCCGCTTTGTTGTTTTTGCTGTTCCAATAAATTTGATAAAAATCTGTTGGAAAAACAAAAATAAACTTTTTGCAATTGAAATTTGAAGAAGTTTTGATTTTAAGTCAAAAGCTTCAATACTTGAGCTTTCTTTAAAAATACCTGAGCTGATGACACGTAATAAGAATATCTATAAATAAAACCTATTTACAATCAGTTATTGAGAAAGTAAATATTTAGTTACAATTTACACTCAGTTATTGAGAAAGTAAATATTTAGTTGCAATCCCACCAAGCTAGTGAACAATATTGTGTAAAATGATAAGATTAGTTAATTTCCGTAGAAACTCTTATCAAAGAAGAAAGATGAGTCCATCGAAAAGATAAAAGATGCGTGCTATCTCTTTCTTAATGGCCCCCCTCTCATGCTTAATCCCAAAAGCAGCCTATAAATATGGAGTACTCCACTTGGGTTTGCTATCAGTTAAAATGAAGACGTCGACGAGCTACCTTCTGGCCGTGGCCTGCTCCTTGGCTTTAATCGGCGCTGTCCAGGCGGATTGCTGTCGCGACTCGTTGACCCTGTCGTATGCCGTGGAGGGCGGAACATGCAGCGATGCGGGCGGACACAGCGGCACCGAGGGCTGCACCATAACCATATGCGCCGACGGCAAGGCACAGGTGGGCACCTTCTGTGGACGGGGTACTTGTTTTCTCTTCGGCTGTGCCTGCAAGGGTGGCTGTATTTCTGGCAATTGGAAGCAAAGTTTCCTGGATATCAACAAAGATCATAAGATTACTGTTACGGGCGAGATATGGAATTCGTGAAAACATTTGATTGAAATAAATATATTTAAGCAAATTTTATATTCATATTATATTTGCTTAATTGGAACAAGTATTATTGATTTTGTTCTTTGTAAAATTATATTAGGCCTTGATTTGCCGTTTGAGGCGAATCCACTCTTTTCGGTGGAAATGGGGGTTTAAGGTAGACGGGGTAAAAAAAATATTTGTTTTATTAAGTTTTATGGAACATTTTACTATCCGATTGGCTTCAAATGGTTTAAGAAGAATCCACTTCGTTGGCTGAAAATTGGGGTTTTTTCGATAGATATTAATATGACTGTCATATATGAAACTTTCCTATATTTTCATCAGATCTGCGTCAAACTTATTTTCAAAGAACCTTTAAAACTGAGATTGAGGCATGTTTCACTGTTTAAGGCGAATCCACTCATTTGGGTGGAAATGGAGGTTTAAGTTAGTAGGTCTGAAACAATATGCTTATTCCATTATTATTTATTCAGTATTGAGTTTTTCAATTCCAAAGTCTTATATTTATTTATTTGCAAAGAACCTTCTAAAATGATATCAACGCATGTTTCACTGTTTAAGGCGAATCCACTCATCTGGGTGGAAATGGAGGTTTCAGTCAGTAGGTCTGAAACAATATGCTTATTCCATTATTATTTATTCAGTATTGAGTTTTTCAATTCCAAAGTCTTATATTTATTTATTTGCAAAGAACCTTCTAAAATGATATCAACGCATGTTTCACTGTTTAAGGCGAATCCACTCATTTGGGTGGAAATGGAGGTTTTAGTAAGTGGGGCTGAACAAATAAATATTCAATTATTATATATTATACTCAGTATTCAGTTTTTCAACTTTAAATTTATTTTTCAAGAACTTTCTGAAATGAAATGAAGACATGTATCACCATTTGAGGCGAATCCACTTCGCCTTGTGGAAATAGGGGTTTTAGATAGTAGGGGTAAAAAAATAAATCTATTTTATTATTATATGTTATTAGAACATTTTAAGGCGAATTCACTTCCCTGGGTGAAAATGGGTTTTATCAATTTTAATTGTATCAGGCTTGAGAATGGACTGGAAAATTTTTTAATTAAGTATATTTCCCGATACATTAAAACTGTCGATTTCTTTAATTGCTTCTATTGTTATTTTTGCAATAAATATTATTATTTACGTTTGATTAAAAAGATTTAATTTTTAAATCAATAAATAAATGCCAATTGCAAGTCGTATAGTCTTCCATTTTTTAGCCAGATGCGATTGGAATTTCTGCCCAGAATATTTGAGCCCACTTTTTGGGTTGTTTCGTGGCAGCTCTTTAGATGGCATTAACAATACGCATCAATTTGCATCGATCACTGGGCTAACAATATGTCCAAAAGCGAAACAGAAAGGGGAGGGAAGAGTGGGGGGAAATAGGGAAAAACCGTATAAAAAGGCGAGTGGCATGAAAAATAAGATAAATTCCAATGGCAGCTGCGCTAACGAGCGTCTCGGCAAAGGTGGCGACTCCTCGGAGCGAGGGGGAGGCAGAGGGAATGGAGAGGGTTGGTTGGGTTAGCCGGGTGGTTGGGCCGAGAGGGGGGGGGGGGGGGGCATGCAATTTTTAGTTCTCTTGTCAAGCGTCGAGCGAACTGGGAACTGTGCGCTGAGTAATGCGGCCCGCATTGCATTGTCTGAGCGAGAGACAGTGCCTGCGAAAAGTTGACGCCACTTTTGGCTTTTCGCTTAATACAAATGAAAATGGATGAGCTACTAAATGTTGTCATTGTTGTTGTTCTTGTTGTTCCAGCACTCTGCGCATTGACTGCATCAAATGAAATGAGAATGTTGCAAACGAGCCAACAGCAGCAGCAGCGGCAGCTGCAAATACCCTGCCTCAACCCCAACCCCAACCCCCTGTCCCGCTGTACTCTAAACCCGCCTCTGGCCATTTCTTGGCTGTAAATTTACTTTTGCATGTGTGTGTGTGTGTGTGTGTGTGTGCCTCTACCCTTTAACCCACCCTCTATCTTTGGCCAAGCTTCGCCCCGCCTCCCACAGATCTCTTTCTCTCTCCCCCTCGCCCCTCGCCCCCCTTGGCCACTCTCTTGATGTCTGCTCGAAGTGCATGTGTTTGTCTTTGTTTTTATGTCATTTATTTATTTAAGTCAATTTCGTTGAGTGTGTTTGAGCATTTTGTTGCAATTCGTTTTTTGGGTTTTGCTGCTGCTGCTTTCTTTTGAATACCCTGTAATTAGAATGCTGGCCATGGTGTTGCCTAGCTTCTTGCCTGTGCTCATCATGCACTATAGGAAAATATTATTCATTAATATTTAATTAACTAATGTATATTTTAATAGATTCTTTGCTGGATTTTCTTTTAGCGTATTATTATGTTAATTCTTGAGGGCGATTCCTCTAATTGCTTTTTTTTTACGGATTTTTTAAAACAATAAAACCAATTTTAATTAAATTAAGAATGGGTAATAACAATAAATAAACTTTAAATTTAAATAAATAAAATAATAATAATGAAATCATAAATTTAAATAATATTATTAGAGCGCGCTTTAAAGCAGCTCTAATGAGCCATGCCTTAGTACAAGCATTCAAAAGAAAGGACAGGGTATCTGAGAGAATGCAGCTTAAAATAATGTTTATCCTTTTCACATTCATTAAATGGGATAAATACAAATGCGAGCACCTCCCTCTAATACAGGGTATTCAGCAGTCGAGCAGGCGTCGCAGATCGTATTCATAGTCTTTTTTTGTGACATTTTTTAGAGAGAAACTTGATGACAATTTGTACTTTGAGTGATTGCAGCCGCATCGACTGCAGCTGGAACCAAGCGTGAGAGAGACAGGGACAGTAATTTCGGGTGTGGATATGGCTTGTAAGGGTGGGGGGAGGGGGGGGGGGTGCAGGAGGAAGGGGTTTGTAAGTTCGCTAAGGCAATAAACAAGTGCACATGTACATGTGTCAGCATGTGTTATTCAAGTGTGTGTGTTCAGTGTTGAGAAACATTCAAGTTAATTGGCTAACAGTTGAGTGCATTGATTTTAAGTGTGCGAAAACGAAAGTATCGATTGTTCGCTTAAAATATTGATAGGATTTGGAATTTCTGATCATTCAGAATGCAAATCTTGTCCTTTTTATAGATGGTTAGAGAAAATATATTTTGCCTAAACTACTTCATTTTGCAACTTACAAAGATCTTGTATTCCTTCATGTGGCATTAAAACGGTTCTATTTTTATTTTATTATTTATCCATATATTTTATTCCTTTTTTTATTTATTTTATTTACACACAAAAAATAAAAATGTAACAGCTCATTTTAACAGAACCTATTAACATAGTTTTAGCTAAGACGACAACCATTTATGCCTATTTCCCCTTCTCTCTTATACACGTAAAATACTAAGTTTTTCACACAGATGGCGCTTTTGCGTGCTGTTGGTTGCGAGTCTGGGAGAGCAAAATGTGACACAACACAACAAGGTCTTCTGCGGGCGCAACAAGCATTATGTTAATCTACAGTCCGCTGTTAAAATGTGCAAACTAAGAGATCTGCACAACAATTAACAATTAAAACAACTGAACGAATATACATACATGCATATATATATATATACGTATACGTACCTCGACTTATATGCGTCGGTCTCTCAAGTTACATACTTTCCAATTTAGAAGTACAACGGCGAAGATGGCATAAAATTGAACTAGAGATATAAATTAATTTACAATATGGTACATTGTGTTAATTTTTTTTTTATAAGTTAACTAAACAATATATATTGTTGTCTGATCGCATCCTGTTGCTCCTATTCTGTGTTCGGGTCTCGAACGCTGCTAATAGCCGAGAGCTTTTGCTGTGTCCAATTGCCACTGGCTGTGCGCTTTGTTTGGCTTGCTCTCGCTCTCCTTCGCTCGTTTTACTGCGCGTCGTATTCAGCAGCCCGAATGTTCGTCTATGCACTTCGTGTTGTTGTGCCCGTTTTAGCTTCGTGCGTCGTCGTCCTCTCGCATTGTCGTTTACAGCGCTTCGCACGCTTCGTGCTTGGCCTGACGATGCTTAACGAAGCGGCTGTTGTCCGTTGTAGCTTTAGTTGAAGCTCAGCCGTCGGAGTGTTTTGAACGTATGCAAAAATGCTGACGCTTGTCTCGCGCATAAATCGCGTTCACTCGTAAACGGGAATTCGGTAAAACGCGATAAACGCAGCGTAAATCGAAGACACAAAAAAAGAAAAAAATAAATAAATACATAGAATAAAACTCAAAGCAGGCAAAATAAAATATATAAAAATGCAAATGATGCATTTCGTGTACGCGCAAAAAACGGTAAATGTCGCGTGTGTCTAAAGCGCCAATCAAATATTGAGAATTTCGAACGCGCCACGTTTACTGTTATAGTAAAGTTGAGAAGTCGCAAACGCACAGCCCCCCCTCGTACCATAACACTCGTCAAATGCTTTAATTGCTGCGCTCTGCTTTTTGGGCATGCATTAAAACGTGTAAACAACAGCAACAACAACAACAACGACAAAAACTGTGTCTTGTGAGTGTGAGTGTGTCTGTGTGCGCGTTTTTGTATCGTGGTATTGTAGTCCCGGTTTAACTCCTTGGTCACGTGGCCAAAAGTTTGGGCCATGTTTTGTGCACGCCCAAGCCATTGTTGCCATTGTGCGTGACACAGTCCAGCGGCAATAACAACAACAAAAACAACCACAACTAAAGGATAAACACTTCGCAAGGCCAAAACTCAATTTGTTGGCCAGGTGAGTTTTTGCCTAGCTCTCACTTAATTCCAACAGCTGCTTTAAAGCATCAGCTAAAGCTAAATTTTTGCTTGCGGCTGTATTTGTTTTCGTCATTCCAGTAGCTGTGAAATGTTGCGGTACTTTAAGCTCTTGTCTCGCTGCGCCAGTTTTTCACTTTCGCACTGTCGTCCCCGCCTCTTTCGCTCGTTTCCTTTATACCCAAGTGGCACTCCGCCCTCGCCTCCGCTCTCGCTTCCTCCCTCT